CTCTTCGACCTGTTTGTTTCCTCTCCACCTATCCTCTCCTCTATCCCTCTTCTATCCGCCTCCCACTCTCTCCCTATTTATTTCAAAACCCCCTTCCCCTCCCCCTTTTCTGATGAAGGGTCTCGGCCCGAAACGTCAGCCTCTCTGCTCCTATGATTTTATAGTTTCTCAGATTTGGTGTAGTTCATTAGCATATAAGAACAGAACTCACCATCAAACACATGACTCAAAGTAGCAAAAGCACTGAAAATTTCCAAAAGCCAGCGAAAGCAATAAAAATCCTTCACTTTGTACATCAATAGGAACAAATGAACTCATTAATGTGAAAAGATTTCATTCACTTGTTCAGCACTTGTATGCATTATTTACCTGAGGTCTCTTAGATCTCCCTTAAAAACCTGCAAACAAAATTCAAACAAAACTTTAATCAGAAAGCACATTGTTCCATTTTCTCAGATTAACAACACTTAGATGTGAATGCTGCAAATACACATGCAACCAGTTGATTCTATTGCAGGTTGAATGCCAAAATCTGGCACCCTCAGGTTGTATTGGATTTTCCCAGAAATATGACACCTGTGGCAGGTGGGTCAAGGGTGATTTGAATCAACTCAGTGATATGACTAGAACAGCGTGTCACTGTAGATAAAGCAGAAAAGCCAATCTCTAGTTTGGCCTTCCACGGAAATCTAGCAACGAGCCAAATTATCCCAATATTTAGGCAATAATTATTCATTTAACTGATTCTGGTGGAAAAAGAAGGAGTATTATCAAGTTGAATATTTTCAAAAACATCTGGTACTCAAAAACCTAGAGTTTGGAAATCCAACCTGTACTGGTAATTATGAGCATTTTCAAAAATGCACAGCTCATGTCACCTGAAATGACTTTATGCAATGATGTGATTAAAAGCAATGAGCAGGGCTGGACTTTTTCCCCCCTTATTTAATTCACAAATTTACACTCACCTCTTGCTTGAGGGAAGTCTGTGGTAACCTCAGAGCTTCTCCGAGCAATGTGTACATGCCGGCTAGGACATAACTTAGCTGCTCCTCAGATAGACTCTCTGTCTCGACAATACTCCTCACAGACTCTCTGGAATCTTTTCCTTCGAGTGAATTGACGACAGCTGTGGAAGACAATTGTGCTTACTGTGATATTTTATTTAATAACTGGTCCGTGGTACAGAACTTAAATATTGCTTTAAAAAAAAGTCAAAAAAAACTCTTCATGTTGCACTCACCAGGGCTAAAATTAAAAAAAAAAACCCAGCATTAGAAAGAGCACAAAAATTTGTACATTATTGTTGCTCAAGTTCAGAAAACTGACTATTGCTAGATTTTGGCCAGTGCAAATATTAGTTTCGTAAACATTTTAAAAACCTCTCCAATTCTCACAAACTGCTCCCTGTTTGATATATGTACAATACAACCTACACCCGGGGTTGGGGGGAGGTGGTGTGTGGCGGGATCAAGGATTAATTGTCCGAGGACAAACTTTTCTCTTACACACTTGACATGAGTCAAGGGATTAGAGTTGTGAATGAACGCGGGCATTATAAAAATGGAAAATTACTATTCCTACAGTGCTTTTCAACCATACTAATGCGGCCCTAAAATGCTTTATCATCAATTTACACAGCAAGGTTATACACACAACAGGGAAATAAATAATCTGTTCATGTAACAGAAACGCTCAAAGCATCATGCAGCACCAGAGGAGAAAGAAACAGTGTGTTTCAGGTCAATGGTCTTTTATCAGAATTGGAGAATGTTAAAGATTCAAAGGCTGCCTGTTTGACTCTATGTCCTCCACCATATTTTGTTTCGAATTTCAGATCTCCAGCATCCAGAGTATTCCACTTTTGTTTATCTCTTTTAAAAGTGCTGTTTGAGACACAAATATTGCCAAGTAAACTGCTTCTTCATAGTGAAATAGTGCCTGGGGGATCTTTTATGTCCGATTTGGGAAGGCAGATGAGGCGTCATTTAGTCGTCAAATTCACAGGGCAGAACCTCCGATGGAGCTTAAAAGCCTTTGAGAGGCAAAAGGGATATTTGGCATAAAAGCGCAAAGTTAAAGTACTGTTGATTAGAATATGTTGATTGTGACATCCAGGCAATTCAGTTAAACCTGTATATTATACAATTCTGAGGACGTGCAGCGAGCAGTTTCGTGCTAGAACATGCTGCTCGAGAGGAGACAGATTCATTGAGGCATTCGAAAAGGAGTCATGCTTTTATTTGAAAAGGAACAATGTGCAGCTTTATGTTCAGAAGGCAAACAAATGGCACTGAGCTCATTTGGAGAGCCTATGCAGACATGATGGTCTGAATGACCTCCTTCTGCTCTGAACAATGCTGTGATTCTGCGACTGCCATCAGCATCTATGGCAGTAGGAAAATCACCCAGTGTCTGAGAAAATATTCAATCCAGAGATAGAGTAGACTTCCTACTCTCTGAAAGAGAAGACCTGCTGCTACCTCATGTTGACTGACAAAATGCACTAACCAGATCAGAATAAGGGAGAAGCAAAGTAAACTATAAGTTTGAAACGTCAGTGATTCTAAATCTATGAAAGTTCCAGATACAGCAGCTTTGTAACAGGCTGTTTCCCATGTTCTAAGTTGTAAAAGGGTTCAGTCCATTGAAGGCTGTTCTTAGTTCATAATTTGAAAGTGTCATGGATTCTGACAGGCTTTTTTAATATATTAACACTGAAGTTCTCTGGCATTCTGAAAGAGCTGTACGTTTTTTTAAGGTGGGTGGGGAAAGATTTAAATAGGACCTGAAGGTAATTATTTTTCACGCAAAGGGTGGCACATGTATGGAACGAGCTGCCAGAGAAAGTGGTGGATGCGAGTACAATTTAACAATTAAAAGGCATCTGGATGAGTATGCAAATTAGAAGGGCTTAGAGGGTATGGGCCAAATGCTGGCAAATGGAACTGGTTGGAAGGGATGAGTTGGATTGAGGGGTCTGTTTCCATGCTGTATGACTTTATGACTCTATTTCACTGCATAGATTACAGACGTTATAACTTTCAATCTGGAACATTTTTAAGACCCATGAAAATTAGAATTTAATGCCATTTTCTTAGAAAAATTATAATCCAAAGTCATAAACATTAACACTCACCTTTAAGTATCTTTCTGAAGATTTCTTTGTCTAAATCTTTCAACTGCTTTACCATCAAGTCAACTTCCATTGGTGTTCGGGGTCCGAGGAAACAACTTCCATGGGACATGCTAAAGCAAATAAAGTCACGCTGAGTGAGAACACTTTCTAAGGACAACATACCAGGAACCGCAGTCAGCTTTCAGCCCATCCAGCTTGTTCCAGCATTTTATTAGATGAAAGGCTGATCATTACCTCACCTCTACCTAAAAAAAGTGCAGCAATCACAAAACAATCTGTAACTTCACGGCATGGTATCACCCCTATTTTACCAATCAAACCAGGAGATCCACCCTGGTTTAGTGAAGAGTGCAGGAAGACATGCCAAGAGCAGCACCAGGCAAACCTAAGAAGGAAGTGTCAACCAGGTGAAGATAAAAAAAAATGACTACTTTCTTGCCCAAAAGCAGAGTGCCAAATGATAGACACAGCCACGCGATCCCACAACCAAACCATCAGGTCTATGCTCCAAAGAACTGCCACATATAGTTGTGAATGGTGATGAACAATTAAACAACTTATCGGAGGAAGAGGCTGCACAAATAATCCCTACTCTCAATGATGGAAGAGGTCAGCACATCAGTGCAAAAGACAAGGTTGAAGCACTTGCAACAATCTTCAGCCAGGAGTGCTGGGTGGATGATCCATCTTGGCCTCCTCCAGTGGTCCCCAGCATCACAAATGCCAGTCTTCAACCAATTCAACTCCCTCCATGTGATATCAAGAAAGGGTTGGAGCAACTGGATTCTGCAAAGGGAGTAATCCCTGACAACATTCCAGCAATAGTGCCAAAGACGTGTTCCAGAACTTGCCGCTCCCCAGCCAAGTACAGTTACAACACTGGCAACTACCACACAATGTGGAAAATTGCCCAAGTATGTCCTGCACCAAAAAAGCAGGATAAATCCAACCCAGCGAATTACCACCCCATCGATCTCCTTTCAATTATCAGTAAAGCGATGGAAGCGAAGCCCAGTTTGGGTTCTACCAGGGCTACTCACCCCTGATCTCATTTTAACCTTGGTTCAAACTCCAGAGGTGAGGTGAGGGTGCCTGGCCTTAATATCAAGGCCAAATTTGAGGAACTGTGACATCAAGAAGTCCTCGCAAAACTGGAGTCAAAGGAAATCAGGGGAAAACACTCCACTAGTTGGAGTCATACCTAGCACAAAGGAAGATGGTTGCGTTTGCAGGAATTCAGTTATCTTAAATGTAGGACATTTCTGCAAGGGTTCCTCAGGATAGTATCCTATACCGATCGTAAGGTCAGAAGTGGGGATGTTTGCTGGTGATTACACAATATTCAGCACCATTTGCAACTCTTCAGATGCTGAAGCAGTCCATGTCCAAATGCAGCAAGACAACGCCCAGGCTTGAGATGAAAAGTGACAAGTAACATTTATGCCACACAAATGCTAGGCAATAGCAATCTCCAAGAAGAGAGAATCTAACCACCGGCTTGTGGCATTCAATGGTATTATCATCACTGAATCACAATCAACATCCTGAGGGTTACCACGGAACAGGAACTGAACCACACTCGCCATATAAATAATGTGGTAACACAAGCAGGTCAGAGGCTAGGAATCCTACAATGCGTAATTCACCTTTGGATTCCCTAAAGACTGTTCACCATCTACAAGGCACAAGAGAGGTGAATGATTGAATACTCCCTGTCTAACCTGGATGAGTGCAGCTCCAACAATGGTCAAGAAGCTTGATACTATCTAGGCCAAAGTAGCCCGTTTGTTTGATGCCACAACCACTCCTTGCACCACTAACACTCAGCAGCAAGAATGTGTACTATCTACAAGATCCACTGCAGAAATTCACCAGAGCTGCTAAGACAGCACCTTCCAAACTCACAACCTCTTGAAACTAAACTAAAAGGACAAAGGCAGCAGATGCCTCGGAACACCACTGCCTGCATGTTCCCTTCCAAGCCATTCACCATCCTGACGTGGAAATAATATCGCCATTCCTTCAGTGTTGTTGGGTCAAAATCTATGAACTCCCTCCCAACCTGCACAGGGACTGCAGCAGTTCAAGAAGGCAGCTCAACACCACCTTCTCAAAGTCAACTAGGGACAGGTAATAAATGCAGGGACAGCCAATGATGCCTGCATTCCATGAGTGAATAATAAAAAAAAAGACACACAAATTAGGAGTCCCAGTCAATATGGGGGAAGTTAAATTCACCCACCACAACAACTCTGTTATTTTCACATCTGTCCAGAATCTGGTTACATATCTCTTCTTCCATCTCCCACTGGCAGCTGGGAGGTCTGTAGTACAATCCGAGCATTGTGATTGTACCCTTCCTATTCCTCAGCTCTACTCATAATGCCTCGCTGCAAGATCCCTCCAGGGTGTCCTCCCCCAACAAAGCTGTGATATATCCCTAACTAGTAATGCAACTCCCCCATCTCTTTTGCTTCCTCCTCTGTCTTGTTTAAAACATGAACATCCTGGAACATTGAAGCCCCCAATCCTGTCCCTCTTTCAACAATGCCTGTGAATGCAAAATCATAGTTGCATGTATTAATCCAGGCTCACGTCATACCTGTTTACACTTCTTGCATTGAAGCAAATGAATCCCAAGCCTCTGGTTCTGCTGAGCTCAGCAACCTCTCCCTGACTGCTATTCCTCTTAGCTATATTTCCGTTAGTCTCAAGCTCTTCCCCAGTCTCTATACTTACTGACCTGCAGCTCCGGTTCCCACACCCTTCCTCAGATACTGAAGCACTGCATGTTTAAATGCAACTTGATCTGGACAATATCCAGGCTTGGCCTGACAAGTGGCAAGTAACATTCATGCCAAACAAATGCCAGGCTACAACCATCACCAATAAGAGACAATCTAACCACCGTCCCTTGACAGTCAATGGTGTTACCATCACTGGATCCCTCACAATTATCTCAAAAATGAAATAAAAGTCGGAGCAGGAGTAGGCCATTCAGCTCCTCCGCCATTCAATATGATCATGACTCATCATCAAACTCGATACCTTACTCTTACCCTGGCCCATATACCTTGATCTCTTTAGCACAAGAGCCATATCAACTATCTTCTTGAAAACATAAATATGTCTTGGCCTCAACCACTTTCTGTGGTAGTGAATTCTACAAACTCACCACTTTCTGGGTGAAAAATTTCTCATCTCAGTCCTAAAAGGATTATCCCTTATCAGTCAAGTATGATCCCTGGTTCTGGACTTCCCACCATTGGGAGCATCATTCCTGCATCTAACCTGTTTGTCCTGTTATAATTTTGCAGGTTTGTATGAGCTGCCACTCATTCTTCTAAACTCCAGTGAATGCAATCCTAACCAACTCAATCTCTCCTCAATAGTCAGTCTTGCCATTGGAGGAATCAATTTGGTAAACTGTTGTTGCACTCCTTCCATAGTAAGAAAGTTTTTCCTCAGAGGAGGAGGAGATGAAAACTACACACTATAATCTAATTACGGCCTCTCCAACGTCCTATATATTACAGCAAGACATCCTATTCCTGTTCTCGAATCCTCTCGTATGAAGGCCAACATACAGTCCGACTTAATAAAAGCCAAAAGAACTGCGGATGCTATAAATCAGGTACAAAAACAAAGTTGCTGTAAAAGCTCAGCAGGTCTGGCAGCTTCTGTGAAGGAAAAAACAGAGTTAACATTTCCGGTCCGGTGACCCTTCCTCAGAACTGTCCACCTCTTTCCTGCCTGCTCCATCCACTTGCTTACTTTCAGCGACTGGTACAAGATTATCTTTGACCCCTTTGCTTAAAAAGAATTTAAACACCTCTTCTGCCTCAAAAATATTCAGGGACTTTGCTTCTACTCTTTTGAGGAAGAGCAATGGAAAGATTCATGAAACTCCAAAAGAGAGTTTTTGAACTTTGATTTATATCAACAACCAATTTGAAATACTGACCCCCTACTTCTAGATTGTCCCAGAAGAGGAATGATGTTCTAAGGTTCTTGAGTAGATTTGATGTTCCCCCTAACTATCCAGCCAAGACTCCTAATTACAGCAAACTTTGTGTTAACCAGTGCCTTTTGAACCGGCACTCTCGATAAACTGGCAAAAATTATATACCAGAAGTTTACCATATTGTTGCGATCTCTGCAAGGTCCAAGTAATCACCTGAGACCGCAAGCAAGAAGGCTCTCAGCCAGAAAGTTTTATTTATGGCAAGGGTGCATTATTAAAGTGATTTATGCTGTAAGAAGTATTACAGTGATGTACATACCCCCTTTATTATGTTTCTATTATTTTGTGTGGTTTTACATTGATTATATGGACCTCTTGATCGACTGGAATATTCGATTAACCAGGCACACTCCTCATCCCATAGGTGCCAGTTACTAAAACATTTCAAAAAATTCACATCTTAGTCTTCTAAACTCCTGCTGATATAAGCCTAGCCTATCCAGCTTTTCCTCACAAAACAACTTGTCCATTCAAAGTATTAGTCTAATAAACCTTCTCTAAACAACATGCAACACGTTTCCACCCTTCCTTAAATAAGGTGTCCAACCCTGTGTAGAGCATTCCAGTTGTAGTGTCACCAATGTCTTGCTTAATTGAAGCATAACCTCCCCTATTTTTGTATTCAATTACCTTTGATAAATGACAACATTCTATTAGCTTCCTAATTAATTGTTGCAGCTGCAAACTAACCTTATGCAATTCATGCACTAGCACACTCAGATCCTTCTGCATCTCTCAGCTCTGCAAACCCTCACCATTTAGGTTGCATGGTGCTCCTCTACCAGAGGACATGATGCTACCACCTGACCCACAGTTGTTGTTGCTAATGGAGCACAGCCCCATCCACAAGCACCCCCACCACCCTAGTCTGCATGTAGCGAAAAAGATAGTGATAGCAAAGCCCAAGTCACTCAAATGTCAAGGTCTCTCCCTTGCCGGAGACCCTGCAAGCCCTATGCCCTCGGGGTAGTCGAGTCTAAACTCCTTCAGAATCTGCCCCACTCACTTTATGTGATTCTCCAATCCTGGAACCTCTTCACAATCAATTCCCCAGGCAATAACTGCACTTCCGCCCCGCTCATGACCTCACATCCGCCTCTCTTTACCCCCCCAAAATGACGATACTGCTTCCGCCCCGCGCACGACCTCACATCCGCTCCCTCGCCCCCAACCGGGTGAAAATGCATCCGCCCCGCACATGTTCGCATCTGCCTTGTCGGCAACAACGGAGCGATCCCATTTCCGCCCCGCTTAAATCTCACATCCGTCTGGCTGAGATAACAAGGTGTGGAGATGGAGGATCACAGCAGGCCAGGCAGCATCAGAGGAGCCGGAAAGCTGACGTTTCGTGTCGGGAGGCCGAGCTGAGATGTGCGGGGCGGACGTATCGTCACTCCGCCCCGCACATAACCTCGCACACAGGCCCAACGTGGCCATATTTCCGCCCCGCCCATGACCTCACATCCGCTGTTGTTCAGGGTCATTGAAAGGTCCCCTTGAGGATTCAGTGACCCTTCCCCTGGGTGAGGGGTTTTTGTGGGGTGGGTAATGTCAGACATTTAAGTCAGTAACTAATTCACAGAATAGTTACAAGGCCTGTTGTGTCTGTGGTGACTCTTTTTGAGAGCCACTCTCATTCTTCCTACCTTGCTCCTTCTTTCTCTCCATATAATGATCCAATTCAAAGTTTTTGAGAAGGTTTGTAGCTTGTGTTGTGGATGAGGTTGTAGACTTGCTCACCGAGCCGGTGTGTTTGATTGCAAACATTTCGTCACCCTGCTAGGTAACATCGTCAATGCACCTCCAGTGAAGTGTTGGTGTTCTGTCCTGCTTGTTATTTCAATGTCTCGGTTTGCTGGGGTGGCTGGTATCACTTACGGTTCTGTTTCTCAGTGGTTTGTATATCAGGTCCAGTACAATGTGTTTGTTGATGGAGTTCCGCTTGGAATATCAGGCCTCCAGGAATTCCCTGGCGTGACTCAGTTTGGCTCGTGCTATTATGGATGTGTTGTCCCAGTTGAATTCTTGTCCCTCATTGTCCATGTGCAGTGAGACAAGTAAGAATTGGTTGTGTGTCTTGGTAGCTAGTTGGTGTTAATGTATCCTTATTGTCAGTTTTCTTCTGGTTTAGACTATGTAGTGATTCTCACAGTCCTTGCATGGTATTTTGTTTATTACACTGATTTTGCTGGTTTTGGGTAAGGGATCCTTTACATTCATCAGTAGCTGTCGTAGGGTGGTTGTTGGATTGTGGGCTACCCTGATACCTAGGGGTCTGAGTAGTCTTCTGGTCATCTCTGATATATCTCTGATGTACATTAGGGTGATTAGTGAGTCTGGCTGTGTTGTGTCTTCCTGTTGTGGTCTGTCTCGGAGGTAACGGAAGATTGTGCTTTTTGTGTATCCAATCCTTCTGAAGACTCCATATAGGTGCTCCTGTTCTACTTTGCGCAGTTCTGGGTTGCTGCAATGTGTTGTGGCTCGTTTAAATAGTGTCCTGATGCAGCTCCGTTTGTGGGCTTTGGGGTGGTTGCTGGTGTAATTGAGTATCTGGTCAGTATGTGTGGTCTTTCTATATATGCTAGTCTGGAGTTCCCCGTTGTTTTTGTGTTCTACTATTATGTCCAGGAAGGGTAGTCAGTTGTTATTCTCTTCTTCTTTTGTGAATTTTATCCCGGTAAGGATGTTGTTAACGCGTCGATGGGTTTCTTCTAATTTTATGCGTGACAATATCAGGACTGATTGCAGAAGCAGTAATGCAAAGGTTAGAACAGACAGTGCTCCCCACTATACAACCCAAGCTTTGGGTCCGATAGGTAGATTATTAAATCTTCATGATTATTAAACACTACATAGGCCAAACTGGAAGAAAACTGACAATACAGATACACGAACACCAACTAGCCACCAAGAGACACAACCAATTCTCACTTGTCTCACTACATACGGACAATAAGGGACACAAATTCGACTGGGACAACACATCCATCATCACACAAGCCAAACAGAGTCATGCCAGGGAATTCCTGGAGACGTGGCATTCTAACCAGAACTCCATCAACAAACACATTAAATTAGACTTTGTGTACAAACCACTGTGAAACAGAACTGGAAGTAATACCAACCACCCCAGCAAACTGAGGAATATAAATAACAAGTAGGACAGAACACTGATGCTTCACTGGAGGCGCACTGATGATGTTACCAAGCAGGGTGACGAAATGTTTGCAACCAAACCCACCAGCTCAGTGAGCATGTCTACAACCTCAATGATCCAATTCTTTTTTTTAAAATCCCCAATGAACCTGACATCATACAGCCCATCCTGGGGAGCCTGCTCCTAGTTTCGGCATTGGGTGAAATGTTTCTCTTCCATGTCTCTATTGCTTCTTGGAATTATCACCCATCTGTGCCCTCCAACTTGGTCCTTCGTTGTTCCAGCAATGGGAATGGTTTTTGCTTGTCTACTCCATCCAGCCCCAGATGTCTCACTGACCAGGGGCTGGGCATGGGAGAGATGCTGCCAGAGCAGTGAAAGCAGGGGTTGGGATTTGGGGGTGGAAGAGGGTGGTCTCACATTGATTAATGTTTGATTGGTGTGTCCAGCCCAGCCTAGACAACCTGGCACCCAAACCATCGAAGAGCAGCAGTCTATAGTCACTCAGACCACTGACCACTGATCCGGGACAAAACACATCTTGGGAATGCCTGGTCCAGGCTGGAATGGCTAATTATGGGGCAGACTGGAAAATCTGGGATGGTTGCTCACCCTGAGTGGACCTCTTTGAATTTTGATTACCTTTATCAAACTTCCTCTCAACATTCTCCAGATAGAACAGTGCCAACTTCTCTAATGTCTCAATGTAATTCAACCCATGAAGCATTCTAATGAATCTTTCCTGTATTCTCTCTAAAGATTTGTACCTGAGTGTGGTGCCCAGAACTGGACCAAACATTCCACTTGAGCTTGAACTGTTGTGTTATCTATTATGGTGACATGCAAATAAAGTAACTCAGATTGTACAGATTCTTGCTCACACACAAAATTTCTCAAAATATAGCAAAGCCAAAGATTCAACTTTTTCAGTTTAGTCATTGCTTAATTGTTGGATCTTGAGTATGACCTGGCTGCCTGTTTCCTTCCTATCGGAAAGTTGACTCAAAAGGTGTTAAGGTGTATGCCAAACACATTGGAGCAGAACAATTTTTTGTTGCTATGAGACAGTATCTCAAAATGTATATAAGAGTTTTCACTGAAGACTATTCTTATATTAATAAATATTTTTATCATTGCTTTGTTGCTGACTACATTAAAAATATAACATTCATGGTTTTTCTTCTATTACCATTGAATTCCCAACTTCTGACTTGCACTTGTGACACAGTACTTTATGGTTTGTTAAATTTCTAGTCAATGATATCACTTTTTTCACTGGCGTGTAGGAGGTTGAGAGTTGACCTTATATACGTTTATAAAATAATGAGGGGTATGGATAAGGTTAATGGTAGGTGTCTTTTACCTAGAATAGGGGAAGTTCAAGACTAGCGAGAACGTTTTTAAGGTGAGAGGACAGAGATTTTAAAAAAGACATGAGCGGCAACTTTTTTGCACAGAGAGTGATTCGTGTGTGGAGCGAAATTCCTGAGGAAGTGATGGATATGGGAACAGTTACAATGTTTAAAAGAGATAAGTACATGAATAGGAATGGTTTGGAGACATGTGGACCAGGGATAGGCAGGTGGGACTAGTTTAGTTTGGGATTATGTTTGGCATGGATTGGTTGGACTGAAGGCTCTGTTTCCATGTTGTATAATGTAAGACTCTATGACTCTGTATCCTCCTGTTATGATGCAGGATGTTGTTAGTGAAAAATTCAGTTGTTGTCATCTTTTGAGGTGTGATGATTTGATTCTCAGTTATTGGAAATAGTCAGTACTTGGCACTTGTGTAACATAGGTGTTACTTGCCACTTAACAGCTCAAACCTGAATGTTATCCAAGTCTTACTGCATGGAGGCACATTTTAGTATCTGAAGCTTTTTGAGTGGTAATGACAACTGCACAATCATTTACAAGCAATCCTGCTTTTGACATGTTGGAGAGAAAGTGATTAAAGACAAAGCTGAAGTTCATTGGGCACTACCATGAGGAACTCCTATAGTGATGTCTCGGGGTGGAGAGGTTTAGCCTTGAACAACCACAGCCATTTTCCTTTTTGCTAGGTAGAAGGCATTGACTATTGTGGTACGGCAGGGATCAAAGCTGGGACCCCAGCTATTCACAATATATATATCAATGATTTGGATGAGGGAATCAAAGGTAATATTTCACAGTTTGCTGAGTAAACATAAGCAATGGCATTGTGAGTGGTGAGGAGAACATAAAGAGCTTTCAACAAAATTGAGACAAGTTGAGTGAGTCTGGGTAAAAGCATCAGATACAATGTAACTTGTGAAGCTGTTCATGTGAAAAACAGAATGGCAGAGTATAATTTAAATTATGGTTAGGGAAATTTTGATGCTCAAAAGAACCTGGTTGACCTTGTGCACTGGTGATTGAAGGCAAGTGTGCCTTTGTAGCAAGCAGTTAAGAAGCTAAAAGGTAGGTGAACCTTCATTGCAAGAGGGTTTGAGTAAAGGTGCAGGGCATCTTTCTTGGCCTTGGTGAGACCACACCTGGATTGTATGTAGTTTTGGTCTCCTTAGTGAAGAAAAATATACTTGTTATTGAGGAAATGCAGGGAAAGTCCACCAAGCTGATTCCTAGTATGAAGAGACATTGGGTCAACTAAACCTTTATTCACTGATGT